AGTCTTTGTTCCCCTAAAGACTGAAACGTGACTCTTTGATCAAAAGTCCTCCCCAGCCCCATTCAAGAACAAAAGTCCAGTGATCACTTCCTGCCTGGTGGCTAATCTGCACACTCAAATCGAGCCCCGCCCTCACTCGCCCTGCCATCTCTGATTGGATCCTTGTTGCCTAGATACAGTACACACTGTCGTGCGGTTGGGCCATAGTCGAGCCAGTAAGGAATCAGGTGTCAAATGGTACCAGGAAATCACTTGTGATTATTCCTATATTTAAAATGTATACACTTTTTTTAAAGTATTAACTGTAAACACAAACAATTAGAACATCTCTTTCCTCTACATCTTTTTTGTAAATAAGAGGAATATTTTTTCTTCTTGAAATTTAGTGTTACGCTTATTTACTGCAGTTTTATTTTGGTATTTTTAAACATTCACATGTCATACACTGCTGGTCTACAGGCGTGTGTTGTTAAATATGGTACATCTTTTAGAGGAACTGCAGTATCCAAAGTCCTGCTGACAGATCTTTGAGTCTCCAACACGCGTTTCTCCACCTCTGCTCCACAGAACTCATCAGCACTAACAAAATATATATATATATATACATTTGGACCAGTAACCCTATAAAAAATATAATGTTGCCACCACACATGGGATTAGCTTTTTGGGTCTTGGTCTTTTAATGTGCATCATCATTTTTTGGGCCAGATAAGCGTTCCTTTGAGTGACAGTATTGAAATGGGGAGATGGAGGGGATTTAATCTGAGCCCCAGTACATGGGCCCCCAGCTGTAACCACCCTTAAGGCCCATCTTCACTTTTTGCTTCATTCATTACAAGTTATTTATCAGGTTTGCAGAATATTATCAGCTCATGAAAGGCTATTAAACAAATGACAAATACACTTTTAGAATCTCTCTGGTTTGGATTTGTATTATGGAAAGACTAGCAAGTTCTTCCCAAATGGGTAGAGATTAGTTAAGCTCCATAAATGTTATTGAGCTGGGAGGTTAAACAAATCAAACGGATGCATTCCAGAAAGTTTAACATTCACTCACCAGGGCAGGTAATATTGAAATCACCCCACAGGAATGTGGCAAAGTTACCTAATCCACTCAAACACACCCGTCAGACATTATGTTGTAATGACTTACCGCTCTGAGATATGACCCAGTTTAAGTTTCACACAGGCCAACTTGTGTGCTAATGCATGCTGTGTCTTTAGAGCCTCTCACACACTCACAGGGATTAGCGTAATGATTGATCTCTGAGTCTTTGAGCAGAGGTGGAAGGCGGAAACGTGTCTGGAGTCTCTGTATCGACCCAAGACTCTCTCCATACATAATGTGGTAGAGTTGGAGCCTCCACGGCCTTTAAACGCCCCCACCCCCAAAATCCCACCCCTCCTCCATCTTTTCCTGTTTCACCTCCTCTCTATTGTTGTCCGTTTGCGTTTTTGACCCTCGGTTCTCATCCCGCCCCGCACCCTTGGGGTTTCTGTATGTTCTCTCCGTCTCTCTCTTTCCAGGGCACCAATCAGAAGGCCTTCGCTGCCCGTAAGATATCCCTGACCAGTGAGTACACCAGTTACCTCTTTAGTGCTACATGAGAAACTACAGGAACAAGAATGTCAAAGAAAATATCCTATTCTAAGTGTTGATCGCCCTTGTGCAAAATTGTAAAAATGCAGAGTGTTTTTTTTACTTAAAATGTCCAATTTCGAAAGGAGAAAAATGAAGAATTGTTATCCTATCTTACAAAATGCTGGTGCATCATGCTCTGTGATTAACAGTGATGTCTGGTTTGGGACACAACATGTAAACAAATCCCCACGCTACAGTATTTCCTGCTACTTTAATAAGCTAGGACCCTCTTCATGATTATGGCTAGTCATGTTGTCCTTTCTATATTTACCTGCTGCACGGTTTGTAATGTTCTCACTGCATACTGTACCCATAGTTCAAATAAGCTAATGTGCACAAAACATTAACAACGTGTTTTACATGTTGAATAGTGTTTCAAATGAAGGTATCGCACAGTTCCACATAAAAGCCCCCAAAACTCAAATGAGTCACTGCCATGAAACGATTCGGGTTAAAGTATTTAAGCAACCCTTTCTTCTTCCAGGCTATGAGCGTGCAGTAACCTGTCACTGAAGTTCTGTAAAGCGAAGGATCAATCATCCGCTAAGTGTTTTTCTCTCCTGCAGGCAGCAAGACGTCTCCACCCGCCACAGATGGAGGAGCAGGCGACTGTGAGTCGGGGACGGCAGCGGGGAGGAAGAGGCGATGGGGCTCCAGCTCGGCCGTCACCACCAAGAAACCATCCATCAGCATCACCACCGACTCTCTGAAGGTACAGCACCGAGACCGGGGCAGGGGCAGAGGGTGGGGGGAACTGCATAATGAATTAGCTGAATTTCTCTCAACTGATCAAAAATAAGCTTTTAAAATGAATTGATCTCACTCAGACAGCCAAGTTACACTTTCCCCTCATCACAAGATTTCCTCCCAGCTGTGTTAATGTTTTGAAACTCAAGTGAGTAATGTGATGAATATAAAGAACATCAAGAGTAAGCTGGGAAAATGTTTGAGGATTTAATTTAAACAATCAATTAGCTATCCATGTTTTCTTTCTGTGCGGTAGATGTGATTAAAATATTAGGGCTGCACAATGAATCAACAGTTATTTCAAACAGTCCACATCCTGTGTATTGTGGTGCTGCACAGAATTCACAACCTATAAATTGTGTTTACCAAAATATCAGTTTGATAAAAAAATCAAAAAAAAAATCACACCATGATTATTTTTCTCTCCTTTCTTCTCCGTCTGTGACCTTCAGTCGTTGATCCCTGACATCAGAGTGAAGGAGGAGGCGGTGGTGGAGCTGCACCCAGAGGAGCTGCAGATGTCCGGGGACGAGGAGAGCCCGGACCCCAGCGCGGGGGACCAGGACAAGGGCCTCAAGATCAGACGCACCGTCACACAGGTCAGATTTAAACCTATGTAAACTAGGGCTGCTCAATTAATCGTATTTTAATCACAATTACGATTTTGGCTTGCAACGATTATGAAAACAACATAATCGAAATAAAACGATTATGAACGAGTTGAATTATACTTAAAGTTCAGGGTAATCAACTGTTAAGAACATACTACACACTTTTCTTTTCAATAAATTGATGTTTTCAAAGTAAATGGGTAATAGTTTTTAATAATCGTGATATCAATTATTGACCCAAATAATCAAGATTATGATAATGTAAACCTAAACTTCAGGTTTCCGTGTATGCATGTCACATCCAGTCGTGATTGAGCCTATTTCTAGTTGGAAAAAAACAGCTTGAGAAATGCCGTTTTTGACATTTGTCTAAAACTCATTTTCCTCCACAGGTCGTCCCAGGAGACGCTCAGGAAAACGGACAGACAAACGAGGAGGAGGAGGAGAGGAGGAGGAGGTGGTGGAGAAAACGGAGAAAGAGAAACAGCGCAGGACTTCCAGAGACAAAAGGAATAACAGCGTTTCTGAGGAAGCCATGGAAACCCAGATATCTGTCAAGATTGAAGGAGACGAAAAGAAAGGTGAAGCCTCCCTGTTGACTTTGATTCTTTGGCACCTCCCTGCTTCCACCATCCCTCTGGCTCCACTTATTGTACTTTTTTGGGTAAATGACAGTTTATTTGACCGATCCCCCTCTTCTCCCGTTTCCCTCAGTGACCCCTAGTGACAGCCTGGTGCGTCGCTCCATCAGTCAACAGAAGTCCGGCGTTTCCGTCACCATTGACGACCCCGTCCGCACGACCAGGCAACCCTCACCGCCTCAGGGCAAAGTCTCAACAATCATCCATGTGACCAACCTGGTGGGTTTGGTTACCGCGTGACATTACAGTCTTTTATTCTTTTTAGCTTTTCGCCACAAACTACAGTTGTGTGTAAGGAAACAGCTTTACCAATTCCACGTGTTTTATGAATGAGGCATTCTGCCAGGATGCCAGTGGTGACCACATCACTCCCATAATTAGAGTCAGAAGCGCTCACCCAGGTATTACGGCCGCAGCAAAGTATCACCTTAAGTTTGCATGACTGAACAGACATTACACATTTAAAGACAGCATTTGCAGATTTCTTTTTTCTTGCGTCACATAAGCTAAACTTGGATCAAAGACGAATAGAAAATGCCACCCTGCATCACACATCTCAGGAAAAAATGTACTGTGTATGTGTGTGTGTGTTAACATGGATTTCTCCATATATCCTAATATCCTGCTGCACAACTTGGTCATCTCTGCTCAGCTCTTTTCTCTCCTGTTTCCCTTTGCTCTACACAAACTGATCGCCTGTTACTGATGATGATGATGATGATGATTGAGTCATGCCCCTTGTGTATCCCATAGGTGCGACCCTTCACCCTGGGCCAACTCAAAGAGCTGCTGAACAGGACGGGCAGCGTGCTGGAAGACTGCTTCTGGATCGACAAGATCAAGTCTCACTGCTTCGTCACAGTGAGCACAGACACATTGATATCTTTATATCGAGTGCAAACCCTTGTTTTTAACCTGTGTTGGTTCTAGAATATGCTCAGTACCTGAGGGTTGGAGTATCGTGGATTACATCTTGCTTCTGCTATTCTGCCGAGTATACCGCTAAGAATGGATATAAAATCCCTCAGTAAATGTGTGTTATTACAGAAAGGCATATATGAGCTCAGGAATCGACAGAAGCATTTAAGTGATTCTTGTTCCCTATCCTCACCTCTGTGTGTTTCTTCTATTTTTAGAAGTGTGTTTGCTTCAACTTTAAAATCATTTTCAGCCTGATAACCTTTTCCCTCTTGTCTCCACAGTACGGTACCACAGAGGAGGCGGTCGCCACCAGAGCCGCCCTCCACGGGGTCAAATGGCCTTCCAGCAATCCCAAGGTCCTCAACGTCGACTTCTGTGAGCAGGATGAGGCAAGTAACGCCTAGAAATCCCATTTTCTCTCTTTTTCTCTCTTTATCCCCGTTTTTAAACTGAGCAAAATGAAAGAAAGATGTCTATCAGTCTCAGTTATTAGAGGGGAGAGATAGTTTACTATCCAGGCTATTTAAAACAAGATGATATGAGTAGTATATGCGGTGATGCAAATTAGTCGCTTTTCGGCTCCTCCCGCTTTTTTAACGCTGATTTGGGTGACTTGTGTAATTCGTGGAGAACCGAAGAGTTTTCGTTTTTGGGGGGGGGGGGGGGTCGTCAGTCCGTCCAACTAACGGACAACTTCTCACTTCAAAAAAGAAGAAGAAATCTAGATCGCAAAATAATTAAACAAGCGAGTGCCTGTTTTTCCTGGCCAAGGACAGGTTCCTTGAACACAACACGAGCGTGTCTTGGTCTTCAAGTGGTTATGTCTCGTCTGAAAGGAGTGTAGACTAGAGTGCTGACGGAGAGCACCAGAACGCCGCTCCAGCTCTTCAAATATCGCAGTACCTATAAGGAGCCGTACACACCGCAGTGTTTGCGTGACTGTGTCTTTAGTTGTAAGCACAGTGGCGATCTGTTCATCTGTCATACTGATCATACAGTCAATAACTTTGTTGTTATTAGCATCTGGTTAGCTAGCTATGCTAACAAATTTAAAGAGCTTTTCTACAACCAGGTGGAAGAGAGCTCTCTCCTGAGAGGCTCAAATAACCTCAGCTCAGTGAGGTTAAGGCACACCTTGATATGATCATTATAATTATTAATGAGACATTAGAGACTAAATGAAAAACAGGTATAAAATACTATATGACAGTAACAAAAAAGTTGTTAAAAATAACAAGAATAGAGTTTAAAAGGGGAGTGGTTTGTAAAATACCCAAAAAAAAAAATCTGCTTACAGTTCCGTTTCAAATGGGTGTTGAAAGATGTGTCCATAGACCTCCTCATTTTGCTCTCAAAGTGCACCAGATTGATGCTTTTAACTTCAATATTTAAAAAAAAATCTCCCGGGACCC